GTCACAGGGACATGGGATGAATTATGTAGCCTCATATCCTAGTGGATGTCAGTAATGTCACAGGGACATGGGATTAATTATGTAGCCTCAGAGCCTAGTGGATGTCAGTAATGTCACAGGGACATGTGATTAATTATGTAGCCTCAAATCCTAGTGGATGTCAGTAATGTCACAGTGACATGGGATTAATTCTGTAGCCTCAGAGCCTAGTGGATGTCAGTAATGTCACAGGGACATGGGATTAATTCTGTAGTCTCAGAGCCTAGTGGATGTCAGTAATGTCACAGGGACATGGGATGAATTATGTAGCCTCAGAGCCTAGTGGATGTCAGTAATGTCACAGGGACATGGGATTAATTCTGTAGCCTCAGAGCCTAGTGGATGTCAGTAATGTCACAGGGACATGGGATTAATTCTGTAGCCTTAGATCCTAGCGGATGTCAGTAATGTCACAGGGACATGGGATTAATTCTGTAGCCTCAGAGCCTAGCGGATGTCAGTGATGTCACAGGGACATGGGATTAATTCTGTAGCCTCAGAGCCTAGCGGATGTCAGTAATGTCACAGGGACATGGGATTAATTCTGTAGCCTCAGAGCCTAGCGGATGTCAGTAATGTCACAGGGACATGGGATGAATTATGTAGCCTCATATCCTAGTGGATGTCAGTAATGTCACAGGGACATGGGATTAATTCTGTAGTCTCAGAGCCTAGTGGATGTCAGTAATGTCACAGGGACATGGGATGAATTATGTAGCCTCAGAGCCTAGTGGATGTCAGTAATGTCACAGGGACATGGGATTAATTCTGTAGCCTCAGAGCCTAGTGGATGTCAGTAATGTCACAGGGACATGGGATTAATTCTGTAGCCTCAGAGCCTAGTGGATGTCAGTAATGTCAAAGGGACATGGGATTAATTCTGTAGCCTCAGAGCCTAGTGGATGTCAGTAATGTCACAGTGACATGGGATTAATTCTGTAGCCTCAGAGCCTAGTGGATGTCAGTAATGTCACAGGGACATGGGATTAATTCTGTAGCCTTAGATCCTAGCGGATGTCAGTAATGTCACAGGGACATGGGATTAATTCTGTAGCCTCAGAGCCTAGCGGATGTCAGTGATGTCACAGGGACATGGGATTAATTCTGTAGCCTCAGAGCCTAGCGGATGTCAGTAATGTCACAGGGACATGGGATTAATTCTGTAGCCTCAGAGCCTAGCGGATGTCAGTAATGTCACAGGGACATGGGATTAATTCTGTAGCCTCAGAGCCTAGTGGATGTCAGTAATGTCACAGTGACATGGGATTAATTCTGTAGCTTCAGAGCCTAGTGGATGTCAGTACTGTCACAGGGACATGGGATTAATTCTGTAGCCTCAGAGCCTAGTGGATGTCAGTAATGTCACAGGGACATGGGATTAATTCTGTAGCCTCAGAGCCTAGCGGATGTCAGTACTGTCACAGGGACATGGGATTAATTATGTAGCCTCAGAGCCTAGTGGATGTCAGTAATGTCACAGGGACATGGGATTAATTATGTAGCCTCAGAGCCTAGTGGATGTCAGTAATGTCACAGGGACATGGGATTAATTCTGTAGCCTCAGAGCCTAGTGGATGTCAGTAATGTCACAGGGACATGGGATTAATTCTGTAGCCTCAGAGCCTAGTGGATGTCAGTAATGTCACAGGGACATGGGATTAATTCTGTAGCCTCTGAGCCTAGTGGATGTCAGTACTGTCACAGGGACATGGGATTAATTCTGTAGCCTCTGAGCCTAGTGGATGTCAGTAATGTCACAGGGGCATGTCTCCCTTTCTTGCATCCCAAATGGCACCCTATTCCATATAAAGGGCTCTCTCTAACTGCTACTTCTACACTGAACAAAAATATAAACACAACATGCAACAATTTCAAAGATTTTACTGAGTTACGGTTCATATAAAGGAAATCAGTCAATTTAAATAAATTAGGCCCTAATCTATGGATTTCACATGACTGGGAATACAGATATGCATCTGATGGTCACAGATACTTAAAAAAAATTCTGGAACACGCTGTCGTACACGTCGATCCAGAGCATCCCAAACGTGCTCAATGGGTGACATGTCTGGCGAGTATGCAGGCCATGGAAGAACTGGGACATAGGCACAGACAGGGTGTTATGGGCAAGTTCCAAGATGCAGTATTCTGTTCATAAGGATGTTTTTGTTACAAACTGATCGCTCATATGACCAAGTATGTGTTCATAAAATCTGCGTCAACTCTCTTCTAATAAGGAATGCTTGAATATGAGAGGGGTACAACAAGCTTCTGGCAATTAATTATTCCCTCATGCAGATATCCTTCTTGGTCTCATCATAAACAGTGAAAAAAAGGCAGAGTGATAGCCATGGCCTGTGTCCCAAACAGCAGTCTATTGTCTATAGTGCACTACTTTTGACCAGAATCCCACTATATAGAGAATATAGAGCCATTATAGACACAGATGAAACACTGAGCCATGACGATAGTAGAGTGGGAGATAGTGTGAGCCTGTAGAGGGAGCTTTTCTCCCATAGGCTGAAACAAGATATTTGTTATCACCAAGGCCAAAGTCAGCCAAGCCGGTCACTCTACAGCGAGTTATCAGCAAACACACACAAGACTAAGCTCAGCTGCACCAAGGACGAAGACTATGGAGACATACCACAGGGTCCTCCAGCCTAGCTGGTGACTGTAATAAGTACAGTGTATTCGGAAAGTATTCAGACCCCTTGACTTTTTCCACATTTTGTTACGTTACAGCCTTATTCTAAAATGGATTAAAAAAAATATATATAAATATATAATCTACACACAATACCCCATAATGACAAAGCAAAAAACAGGTTTAGACATTTTTGCAAATGTATTAAAAATAAAAAAATGGAAATATCAAATTTACATAAGTAGTCAGGCCCTTTACTCAGTACTTTGTTGAAGCACCTTCGGCAATGATTACAGCCGCAAGTCTTCTTTGGTATGACGCTACAAGCTTGGCATACCTGTATTTGGGGAGTTTCTCCCATTCTTCTCTGCAGATCCTGTTAAGCTCTGTCAGGTTGGATGGGGAGCGTTGCTGCACAGCTATTTTCAGGTCTCTCCAGAGATGTTTGATCGGGTTCAAGTCCAGGTTCTCTCTGTACTTTGCTCCGTTCAGCTTTCCCTCGATCCTGACTAGTCTCCCAGTCCCTGCCGCTGAAAAACATCCCCACAGCATGATGCTGCCACCACCATGCTTCACCATAGGGATGGTGCCAGGTTTCCTCCAGACGTGACGCTTCGCATTCAGGACAAAGAGTTCAATCTTGGTTTCATCAGACCAGAGAATCTTGTTTCTCATGGTCTGAGAATCTTTAGGTGGCTTTTGGCAAACACCAAGCAGGCTTTCCTGTGCCTTTTACTGAGGAGTGGCTTCCGTCTGGCCACTCTACCATAAAGGCCTGATTGGTGGAGTGCTGCAGAGATGGTTGTCTTTCTGGAAGGTTCTCCCATCCCAACAGAGGAACTCTGGAGCTCTGTCAGAGTGACCATCGGGTTCTTGGTCACCTCCCTGACCAAAGCCCTTCTCCCCACATTGCTCAGTTTGGCCAGGCGGCCAGCTCTCGGAAGAGTCTTGGTGGTTCCAAACTTCTTCCATTTAAGAATGATGGAGGCCATTGTGTTCTTGGGGACCTTCAACACTGCAGACATTTTTTGATACCCTTCCCCAGATCTGTGCCTCGACACAATCCTGTCTCGGAGCTCTACGGTCAATTCCTTCGACCTCATGGCTTGGTTTTTTCTCTGTTGTTTCCAAATCATGTCCAATCAATTGAATTTAACACAGGTGGACTCCAATCAAGTTGTAGAAACATCTCAAGGATGATCAATGGAAACAGGGTGCGCCTGAGCTCAATTTCAAGTCTCATAGCAAAGGGTCTGAATACTTATCTAAATAAGGTACTTCTGTTTTTTTTATTCTTATACATTTGCAAAAATGTCAAAAAATCTGTTTTCGCTTTGTCATTATGGGGTATTGTGTGTAGATTGATGAGGACATGTTTTTATTTAATCAATTTTAGAATAAGGCTGAACATAACAAAATGTGGAAAAATTAAAGGGGCATGAATACTTCCCCAACCTTTAGTATTGCTTTAACTAAATAATGTTATTTCCTATTTAAGACTGGTGCCCATTCATAAAGTTGTATTAAAAGTGTAATACAGAAAAGGTATTTATCTTGACACTAGGGGGCACTATAATACAACAAATCCATCCGACCTCCCCTGAGCAGAGATAAGGTAATACATGTTGACACCAGACATATTCCTATATACAAAATTGATTGGCTCTCAAATCAGACCTTGACGTACAAAATTGTCCTCAATCACAACTGCAAGTAGGACTCAATATCTATTCAATTTATTTTCTTACAGGATTCCATTGGTTAAAAAAAAGGAGGTTGAATAGAACACAGAGAGTGTACAGGAGTGTCATGTTCTGTCCTAAGGGTTTACAGCAGTCAGTCTGTACATGAGACATCCAGCACCATTATAACAGCTGAACTAAACAAAGATTCCATTACTCCCAAGTGTTTCCTCTTCCGGGGGGTTTTCAAACTCCCCAAATGTCTCTAGGGTGTCTTGACAGGGATTTCTGGTAAAGAGGAACAGCAATAAAACAGGAGGGCAGAAGTCCCAACCGCTACAGCACTGCCGCCGCACCACATCGCTGCAAGTATATTGGTTATTAACCAGGAAGGTGAGAATAAAAATGAGTTCTAAATACAAAACAGAAGAAACAGTAAAGGGAAGATAAAGATTGTGGGGAAAGTCTCTCTCCAAGAATACCTAAACACATGTATCGGACTGGCTGCCCTGAATTACTTGATGCATGTCTGTCGGACAACACCTGCCCACATCAAACATCCCAGGTAACTACCACAGAAGTCAAAATAAAAGTAACCTCCTAAACTGCTCCTACAAATGGATAAGAGCATCTGCTAAATGACTAAAATGTAAATTTACTAGCTAGATTCGTTTTCTTCTAATAAGAAAATGCATTCAACTTATGTGAACCAAAAAAGGCAACTTCCTAAAAACCAAATGAGGACTATTGTTCTCATCAACGATGTGGATTGGGTTCCGAGGTGAAAATAATAGCCTTTTAAACAGCAGAACCCTCATCAACATGGTCCCAGATCTGTTTGCACTGTCTTGCACATCCTGTGTCACACCAATGACCACAAGAGTTAGCAGGACAACACAAACAGATCTGGGAACAGGCTATCAGCACTCTCACAGCCTTTAAGGATAAAGGTTCCCAGTCTGAGTTGAGCACTTGAGCAATCCCACAATGCAATGCCTCTTCAGAAGAACTTGACCCCCTTCCCGTCGTCCATGGTGATGACCTCTGCCTTGCCGTCCGTCTGCAGGGCCAGCAGCGAGCGAATCAGCATCCACTCCTCCAGCCCATGGAATTCTGGGGGAAATGTTTTATAGCTAATTACTTTTGCTGTACAGCTTAACAGATTGTATAAAATAGTCCAAATGTATTTTGGTATGGATGAACAGAAGGAAATACAGTGCATTCGTAAAGTATTCAGACCCCTTGACCTTTTCCACATTTTGTTACGTTACAGCCCTATTCTAAAATGGATTAAATTGTTTTTTTCCCCCTCATCAATCAACACACAATACTCCATAATGACAAAGCAAAATCAGTTCTTAATTATTTTTTTTAAAGCAAATGTATTAAAAAATAAAAAACAGAACACATTATATTTACATAAGTATTCCGACCCTTTACTCAGTACTCAGGCCAAAGAGTTCTATCTTGGTTTCATCAGACCAGAGAATCTTGTTTCTCATGGTCTGAGAGTCCTTTAGGTGCCTTTTGGCAAACTCCAAGCGGGCTGTCATGTGCCTTTTACTGAAGAGTGGCTTTTGTCTGGCCACTCTACCATAAAGGCCTGATTGGGGTGGAGTGCTGCAGAGATGGTTGTCCTTCTGGAAGGTTCTCCCATCTCCACAGAGGAACTCTGGAGCTCTGTCAGAGTGACCATCGGGTTCTTGGTCACCTCCCTGACCAAGGCCCTTTTCCCCCCGATTGCTCAGTTTGGTCAGGCGGCCAGCTCTAGGAAGAGTCTTGGTGGTTCCAAACTTCTTCCATTTAAGAATGATGGAGGCCACTGTGTTCTTGGGTACCTTCAATGCTGCAGACAGTTTTCGGTACCCTTCCCCAGATCTGTTCCTCGACACAATCCTGTCTCGGAGCTCTACGGACAATTCCTTCGACCTCATGGCTTGGTTTTGCTCTGACATGCACTGTCAACTGTGGGACCTTATACAGACAGGTGTGTGCCTTTCCAAATCATGTCTAATCAATTGAATTTACCACAGGTGGACTCCAATCAAGTTGTAGAAACATCTCAAGGATGATCAATGGAAACAGGATGCGCCTGAGCTCAATTTCAAGTCTCATAGCAAAGGGTCTGAATACTTATGTAAATATGGTATTTCTGTTTTTAATTTTTTATAAATTTGCAAAAATTTTGAAAAACCTGTTTTCGCTTTGTCATTATTGGGAATTGTGTGTAGATTGATGAGGGAAAAAACTAGGCTGTAACGTAACAAAATGTGGAAAAAGTCAAGGGGTCTGAATACTTTCCGAATGCACTGTATGTCAGAAATGCACATTTCTGTTGCTTTACCTTCGCTTTCTGTGTCGTCACCGTTGGCGAGCTCGTAGAGTGTAAACACTGAATTGACCATACCGTTTTTAGAGACCTGAAATTATAGGGAGAGGAAACATGAACTCCATCAAGAAGTATCAACAACAGCGTACGGACGACAACACCAGGATTTAGACTATTACTAGGAAATCTACTAGACCCCAGCATATCTTCTATACTGATGCTACATTACAGTATTCTTCCAACAATGTAAAAGGAGATCAAGGCTGCGTCCAGAAAAGCACCCTACTCCCTATTTAGTGTATTCCTTTAGACCGGGGCCCATAGCAGATCACTCACCCACTGGTAAATCAGTTTGCCCCATTCCTCTGGCCTCCTCCACATGACTAGACACCGTGTCTTGTTCTTGTCTAACCATTCCAGGTTCCCTGCAAGCAACATCCAGTTAAATTATTGTTAGTGTCAGAATAAGTGTCCTAATCCATCTTTCAATGAAAGCAGTCCTGTTACCTTTTTTCCTCAATTCCTCAAAAACAATTAGTATGGCCTCTGTTGATAGTTTTCCTGCAAGATCAGTTAAGGTTTCTAGCAGATATGAGGGGAAACATTCAGAGAACATCCTTATAAAGTTTCTAAGTTATTACCTTTCCCTAGCCTCAAAGTCACTATCCAACAACAAATAACAGGACAGTAGATCCAGAGATGGCCTCCTGTGGTTTCTTTGGGTTGGTTAGACCTATGACGTATGTCAGTAAGTGAAACTTAGCACAAGGTAAATAAAAGGATACTATCGATATTCTTGTGGTTGAACACAGGGCACTCTTGGGCTTCCATGACGTCCAATGTGTAGAGCTTGTGATGGCGGCAATAGGACAGAGCGAGGGAGCGCCATGCTGCAAGCTGTTTCTGTCTGGTGTCAACATTGGGCTGTAACCTGTGAACAACCAAAAGCAACCATTGCATCAATTTATATTGGCATGTAGCTAAATTAAGAGACAGAAGTACCTAGCTAATCACTCACTAACAGTTATGCAAGTTTGATTAAGTTTGAGTGGTGAATAATAATCAAACGTTTGCTGGGAACACAACCACCTCATACATTATGTGTTGCAAATTAGCAAATTGAATGCAATGCTCAAGACAATTTACCATCTTAGCTAACAAGCTTTACTATCCAGATAGCTACCTATGATTTATTGCAATCCGTAGATAGCTAACTATAATGACAAACTAAGTAGCTATAACATCAAGAAGCACGGCAATCTAGCTAGCTACATGTTGAGAAAAACACTGCAATCATTCATTGCATCGAAACCTTGTTTCGATTTTTTCTAACAAAAAATATGGCTAAAGCTAACTTCCCTAGCTAGCTAGCATTATTTTAAAAGCAGGTCAACAATTTGATTCGCAAATACAATACAATACTTATTTATACCTGGAATCACAGTTTAGTTGTGAAATGTGTTAACTTACGTAAAAAACGGAGGGAAATTATATTGCCAGGGCCACTCAAAACTCATTGCAAAAATATGTACGAACAGCTGACACCGGAAAGTAAGTGTAGCCTCTAAATCGTTCCCTTCTGGTCTTCTTCTTCTTCTTCAGTGGGGTTTATCGGCGGTTGGCATCCAACTTTATGGTGCATTACCGCCGCCTACTGTACTGGAGTGTGGGCCAGAGACAGGGAGAAACTCAAACCTACCAGCCAGCCCCGTTGCTCTTAAAAAAGATCACAAAATATTTGAGACTATATCTAATGACGTTCTACTCAATATACTCTTTAAACTAATTTCCTGTATCCCTTTCTCCCTCATACTAGATCTCATCCTTTCTCTTTCCCTCTGATACTGCCCACACTGTAGCAATACATGCTCCACGGTCTCTGTTTCCTGACAATAATCACACTTTCCTGTTGGATGCTTTCCTATCACATTTAATGTCTTATTCAACTGGCTGTGTCCCACCCTTAATCTTGTAAAAATAGCCTCCTCTCTTCTGTCCCTTCCTGCCGTCCTCCCCGACTTTCCTCTGTACTTGAAATAAATGCCTTCCATTATTATCTCTATCACTGTATATATCAGTATTTTTGCCTCTGCCTTGCTCATTGAAACTTCAACATCAACATCACCACTACTAAGTGCTTGTTTAGCCTGTTCATCTACTGCCTCGTTCCCCTCCTCCCCCACATGGGCTGGGACCCAAGTAAATCTTATCTGAATACCCATCTGTTTAATCCTGCCATGGATTTGTAGCACCTCATAAAGCAGGTATTGTCTGCTACGTGAGCTAAAGGACTGGAGACTCATTAACACTGCACATGATTCAGAGCAAATAATTACTCTGTCTTTCTTGACTTCCTCCACAAACTGCAAGGCCAACAGTATGGCCATCAGCTCCGCCGTATATACAGCCAGATGATCTGTAATACGTTTCCTGACTTCCACCCCACATTCCTGCACTACAAATGCTGACCCAGTACGTCCTGTCCTTGGATCTTTTGAACCATCTGTGTCGTTCCCTACTGAACTCTACTAAAAAATCATATACTAGCCCAACCGGCCCCCAGATGACGCTATTCTTCATTTTAAGTCGTTTGTCATCTTCTTCTTCTTCTTCTGTGGATTTTATATGGCGGTTGGCAACCAACTAATCAAATCTAATCTAATTTTATTTGCCACATGCACCGAATACAACAGGTGTAGACTTTACAGTGAAATTCTTACTTACAAGCCCTTAACCAACAATGCAGTTGTAAGAAAATAAAAAAAGTGTTAAGTATAAAATAGATAAGTAAAATTTTTTAATAGCAAATAATTAAAGAGCAGCAGTAAAATAAAATAACAGTAGGGAGGCTATATACAGTGGGTGCCGGTACAGAGTCAATGTGCGGGGGCACCGGTTAGTCGAGGTAATTGAAGTAATATGTACATGTGGGTAGAGGTGCATTCCCGCCACCAACTGGACTGGAGTGTTGACCAGAGACAGTGAAGGTCTAAATCCTACCCAATAATCTCGTCTACCTAAGGAAACTAAATACATAATTAAATACTACATCCCCTGAAGATTTCCCCAGCAGTTCACTTAATCCTGGCTCTTCAACCCCATTACTCCTCAAATCTAATAATAATCACTCCCTTTCTCTCACATATTTCTGGCACTGAAATAGAACATGTTCCACTGTCTCCATCTCCTCCTGACAATGATCACACCACCCAGTCGGATGTTTCCCCACGACTTTCAATGTACTATTGAGCCTTGTGTGTCCCAGTCTCACCCTGGTGACTACACTTTCCTTCCTTCTCTCTCGGCCTGAGGACCTCCCTGCCCCCACCTTTTCCTGGATCTTATACAGATGTCTTCCCTTATTCTCCCTGTTCCACAACTCTTGCCACTTATTTTTAACCACTGTTCTTATTAATCCCTTGGCTTCTGCTTTACTGATTCCATCTCAACATTAGGATGTTTAAGAGCCTGCTTGGCAATAATATCCACTTCCTCATTCCCCTCTACTCCCACATGAGCTGGTACCCAGAGGAACATCACAAATACCCCAAATATCTGTTTCACCCTATACAAACACTGCAAACCTCATACAATACATCCTGTCTGCCCTGAGACACACATGAATTTAAGCTCATCAGTGCTGCACAGGAGTCAGAGCAGATGACTACCCTGTCTGGCCACACCTCCTCCACCCACTCTGCAGCCAATAGTATGGCCAACAACGCCATTGTGTAAACAGATAAATGATCTGTTGCTCTTTTCGTCACTGCCACCTTAAACTCAGGCACACTAAAAGCTGCTCCTGTCCTCCCTGTTTTAGGGTCCTTAGATCCATCTGTGAATATATTCAAGAAAGCATAGTATTGTGTTCTTAAATGTTCACTTACAACTGAATCTACTCCTTCCTCAACATCTCTTACCCTCTCAAGCAACCTTAGCTCTATCCCTGGCTGAGGGAGAAACCAAGGTGGGATAGCAAGAAGAACCACAGAGGGGCTAAACTCCATCCCAAACAACCACATCTCTCTCACCATGCAATTGCCTATCCAACCAAAGCATGTATTCAGATTTTTTTTTCATGTCCCCAGCACTCTAGGAGCACCTTTTTTGCAGGATGTTTAACCTTATTGGGTAAATGACATATGTCATGGCTAGCTGTTGCATTCTTAACTTTTTAACGGTATCTCTCACAACTCTACCTGCATTGCTGCCACTGGAGAGGTCCTGAGTGCTCCACATATTCTTAGGGTTTGGGCCTGGATAACATCTAGCTTTTTTAAGGTATCGGAGCTGCTGATCCATATGCTATACTTCCATAATCCATTGATGACCTTAACAACGCTAAATATACACTACCAGTGATAAATTTGGACACACCTACTCATTCAAGGGTTTTTCTTTATTTTTACATTGTAGAATAATAGTGAAGACATCTGTAGTGTCTAAACAGTTTATGACTTTGCTGACGTTTGCAAATGGTGTGTTAGAGGAAGTTGACTCAGCTTGCGGAAGCATCTGGAAAGCATTACTATAGGGGACCCCTAAAACAGAGAAAGTCTGTTATGTGGCGTCCTGGGATTGGTTTATGGGGAAACCACCCATATCATGTTACAGATTATAAATACCATGGTGGAAACAAAGGACGGGGAGGAACAACATATTAGAGATTGTGTCAGTTGTTCTCCAGATGTCTGCAGGAGTCTGTAAATTGACGCTGAAATCTTTGATGTAATAAAACTATTATAATCAAGGACAGTGTCAGCGGATTTCTTGTCATCACAGCATCTCAGCATCGTTATCTTGACACTTCCGCATTGTCTCCGTGCTGCTGTGCTGTTTGTTGCTACTTGGCTACCTGCCAAACTATTCACGTTTTACTTTTAATAAACGTTTAATCAATCTCTGTGTTCAACAAATTTACCAACTTTTTAGTTTTGTCCTCACTCATCTTTTTTTTAAAAACTTTTTCACCCCGGACGTTTTATCCCGAGACAGAAGAGTCATTTTCCTGTGCGTTTTTGCTGCCAACTTTACTTTATTTTCCTTTTTTCCATCGCAACTTTTTTCCCTCATTCAACTTTTTCACTCCGGACGCTTTATCTGGACATGGTTCGTCAACATCTTCAACAGCCGAAGCTAAGTAGTAACATTAACATGATGTCTTCTAATTGCAGTCGCTGTACTCATAATATACAGGAGAACGATCGCCTTACGGCGAGAATAGCTATGCTACAAGCCCAGCTTCAGACGCAATCGTTAGGCAAGGGTAATTTCAGTGTAGGAAAGGAAGAAACAGCGTCTGTGCCACCAGTAAGTACAGATAGTAACGTTAGTATAAATCCCCCCGCACAGTCCCCGCAGCCGGACAACTTTCTCATGGCTTCTGGAGGGAAATACTGTCGGAATGCTCAACCGGTGTCGCTCATTCAGCCGACAGAAACTTTCAACCGGTTTTCCCCATTATGTAGCGAGTCGGAGTCTGAGTCTGAGTCTTCTCTTGTCTCTACTCCTCCCGTTACGGGGTCTGAGACGCCGAAGGCTCCCACCATTAGCTCTGACAAATTGAAAACCCTAGTCATTGGCGACTCCATTACCCGCAGTATTAGACTTAAAACGAATCACCCAGCGATCATACACTGTTTACCAGGGGGCAGGGCTACCGACGTTAAGGCTAATCTAAAGATGGTGCTGGCTAAAGCTAAAACTGGCGAGTGTAGAGAGTATAGAGATATTGTTATCCACGTCGGCACCAACGATGTTAGGATGAAACAGTCAGAGGTCACCAAGTGCAACATAGCTTCAGCGTGTAAATCAGCTAGAAAGATGTGTCGGCATCGAGTAATTGTCTCTGGCCCCCTCCCAGTTAGGGGGAGTGACGAGCTCTACAGCAGAGTCTCAGCACTCAATCGCTGGTTGAAAACTGTTTTCTGCCCCTCCCAAAAGATAGAATTTGTAGATAATTGGCCCTCTTTCTGGGACTCACCCACAAACAGGACCAAGCCTGACCTGCTGAGGAGTGACGGACTCCATCCTAGCTGGAGGGGTGCTCTCATCTTATCTACCAACATAGATAGGGCTCTAACTCCTCTAGCCCCACAGTGAAATAGGGTGCAGGCCAGGCAGCAGGCTGTTAGCCAACCTGCCAGCTTAGTGGAGTCTGCCAATAGCATAGTCAGTGTAGTCAGCTCAGCCATACCCATTGAGACTGTGTCTGTGCCTCGACCTAGGTTGGGCAAAACTAAACATGGCGGTGTTCGCCTTAGCAATCTTATTAGGATAAAGACCTCCTCCATTCCTGCCATTATTGAAAGAGATCGTGATACCTCACATCTCAAAATAGGGTTACTTAATGTTAGATCCCTCACTTCAAAGGCAGTCATAGTCAATGAACTAATCACTGATCATAATCTTGATGTGATTGGCCTGACTGAAACATGGCTTAAGCCTGATGAATTTGCTGTGTTAAATGAGGCCTCACCTCCTGGTTACACTAGTGACCATATTCCCCGTGCATCCCGCAAAGGCGGAGGTGTTGCTAACATTTACGATAGCAAATTTCAATTTCCAAAAAAAAAAATGGCGTTTTCGT